CCAGCCACCACAATGCAGATCAATGATACTCAAATTTCGACAGACCAGTCGTGGCGGCCAAGATTTCCTGGCGATGTCGTGTGCGGTGAAGAGAGAGACGGGAGAGTAGCACATAACTGCGACGAGAGGAGAGTTAGAGAGAGACGGGACTATGGCGGCGAGAGGGGAGTTAGAGAGAGATGGGTATGGGGGAAAAATGAGGGGTGGGTGGAGGGAGATAGGGTTTGGTTTAATTTAATAATATATTTTATCTAATAATAATATATTAATTAACAAAACATTTGATTTTGGAAATATTTCGAAGATCTTGGAACGAGCTTCCTCGACAATGTACAATAGCTCCTTATCACTATTTAGCCTCAACTGTTAAAATGGAAGGGTGTCACATAAAATGGTACCCTACTGATAGCTATGTCAACGAGTCGAGCCATGAGCCTAAACTCAAAGCTCGAGCTCGACTCGAGCAAAACAAGTCCTAACTTTTTTGGGTCTGAGCCGAGCCAAGATGAGCAAAAGCTAGGCTAAAAAAATGAGGCTCGGGCCGAGCTTTTGGTTTGAGCCTTAGCGGGCCGAGTCGGCTCGTGGTTTTTTTTTTTAAATTCGTTATAAATCAATAATTTTTTATAATGTAAAAAATAAATTTAAACTTAAATTTTATTTTTATTTTTTATACTACTTAGTCACGGAGCAGTGACGAGCTATGGGCCGGCTGGGCTTGAGCTGACGCCCCAAAATGGGACTCGGCTTGAGCCTTGACTCGGTCGAACCGAGCCGGCTTTTTTCGCGCCGAGCTCGAGCTGTTCGAGCCGATGAGCTTTTATGGCGTTCCTACCTATTGATTTTAAAAAAATAACTTTCATATTGTTCTTTTCGGGTTCAATCCAGTCAAATTATGAATTACCAATTGGTAGATCCAAGATGGTTGTCATGATAATTCCATAGGTTTCGGCATTAGAACAAAAACTGATCCTAGTCGCATTTCTTGTATGGACCACTCAAGGTCTGCCACGTGCTGAGGTCAAAATTTCGTTTTCCTAAATACAACATCAATCATGCTAAATGTACAATAACAATTGGCAATGTTTGTTGACAGTAGTGATTTGACATTATCTCATTCATCCATTTCAAAAAATTTCAAAAACTGTTTTTTAAAATCAACCGTCCAAATTTTGCCACGTCAAACATTGTAAACAAATCTTATTGTATAAGCAGATTAATTCGTACAACTTCTCAATGAAACAAACTCAACAAGTACGTACGAGATGGTAGGGTACGGTAGAAGTATGGGAAGAAATTCCATTAGCAATATTTAATTAAGTATGAATTTGTATTGAATTTGGTACCACCTTGGCTTTGGTGTACGAAGAATATATTACTAGCATATATATTAGCTTATAATGTATGATTACACATCTCTATATCGATTAAAGCTCAACTTAATTAATTTTGAGAATCTTGAGGCAGCAAAGCTTATACGTTTCTAATTAATTATTTATTTGATTAACTTAAATTAGTGTATAATTAATTCCGCCGGTGGCCGGTGCGCCAGAAACTTAACTTCGATGAAGCTTCATTCTATTTATTTTTATAGATTTATACTGCAAAACAATTAATGTTTTTTTTATCATCAACTAGACGAGGTGTTGCTTGTCTTCTATTAATGCATTATTAGGTTAAAAAAGTAGTGGATACATAGTACAGATTAAGAACTTTATAATTTATTATTAAATGGATTATAAATTTTATTTTAGGGTTGATGAAGAGAGACTTTCTATTTAACTTCGAAAAAGTAACAATGAAAATAGATAAACATCAAGAAAAAACGCCGTCGAACTCATCCGATCAATAATGTGTGGACAAATAAATTTTATTTTTTTTCGTCAATTACCTTTTATATAAAATATAATCTTAATCGAGATCAAGACCTAACTCAAATGATAAGAGCAAAATCTTATCGGCCAGTAACTGGATTCGAGTATCATTTGAGATGGAAATTGGTAAAATTCAAAAAAGAATAGGGCCTGATTTTAATCCAAGTCAAAGTCAAACAATGAATATAAACTTCATCTTTCATGGGCCCCACATCTTTTCAACTACACATTTCAAAATTTTTTATTACAATCCACTAAAAATTTAATTTTAATCCTCATCAAACAGTATATAACTCGTTAAAAAGCGCCATCCATCAAATCAGGCGATCCAAAAGGACCAAACATAAACAACCGATTGAGAAGAATGGTAAATGAGACAAGGGCTCAAGCTGACAAGTAGGGTTCCTCATTTTCCTATGGTCGAGCAGAAAATTGGTTCCGTATCATTAAAAACTTTAGTATTCGTAAAGCTATATATATAGAAACCTTATTAAATAAAATGTTGGAGAAAAGTGAAGCAGACGAAGCTGAGGTTGGAGAACAATGCCAAAAAGTGAACACGTTGTGATATTGAAAATTATTGAACTTGAAATTCGATGGCAATATTTTCTAGTTAAGAACTTGAAATTAAAAATTAAAAATTAAAAATATACAGACTGAAAGATTCTGTGTCTCACACCCAGGATTCGCGTTGGCAAACAAGAATATAATTGTTTTTAGTTCGTTGGGAGACGAGAAGCGTGAATGTAATCGTACCCTTCTTTTTTTTTTTTCCGTATATTTTTATATGTACATAGACAAGTGTAAATATTCGATATTTAGTACAAAAAAATGTATTCAACATAAACGGGACGACGTGATTAAGAAAATTTTGATAAATAAATCTATTCTCTGTTAACCGTTTAAACTTTTAAGCGAAATGATTAGGTTAATTGAAGTTAACCTAATGATTTTTATTCGAAGAAAATCTTCATTTTATCATTAGAAAAATATCTCTAGATCAAGACAGCTGGAAGCTTTGGAATTTTGTGACTTAAAAGTGCGCGATCTAATAATATGTTATTCTCTAGTTGATAATTAATTAAATAATTTAATATTATTGTATTTTTTTAAAAATCTATTTTTAATACTTCACCTAGTTTAACATGTAATTATTGAGCACTAAGGGAAAATGATTTAGGCTCAGTTTGGCATTGATTTAAGTTCCAACTTTTGCTTAAAGAGTAACTTTTCAGATTTTGTTTTTACTCTATTCAATTATTTATAATAAAGATATCAATTTTAACCTTGTCAATAAAATTAATTTGATTTTTCTTACCAAACACTCAAAAATTGATTTTAAAACCTACATCAATTATAAAATAAAAGTATACCAAATACTTGACTTATTTTTACAGCAAATTAATTGATTCTAAGCACAATAATACCAAACTAAGCCATAATAATCAACAATCACAATTATTTGCATTAAAGTTTCTTCAATTTTTCCATTTAAAACCAAATTTAGAAATAAATAGAGTAGTTCATTAATAATTTCTATAATTTAGGCTCTTTAGCAATACTACACTTAATGAAAATGGTTGACCGAACACTCACAATAGGGGGAGGGCCCACATTTTTTTGGAATTTTTTATTTACACGGGGCCTACACGCATGTGAGAGGTTGTCAAACTTGTTGTCGTCCATTTTCGGTACAAATGGAAAAACCCCTATGGTTGCTAGTATTTTACTAGGACCGAGCTACTGTGCCAGGTCTGTAAAAGATCTGGCACAGCCATGTGAGATAGGGTGGGTGGGTGTTTTAACATTTTTGGGGGGTTTTTTTAATGAGTTAGGTTCTCGGGACCCACCTCATGTGAGATAGTCTGTACAAAATCTGTGAACCAAAATCTGGTAGAGTAGAATAATTCATTTTACTATTCAATAGTTGGTACTCAACTACGAAAAGTATGGCGAATGTAGATGTTCACATGTAATGGAATATTTTATCGATAGTTAACAATTGATGAGTAACAGATATCGTCACAAATTAGTGATAGAAAATAAGAATCGTTAAATATATTTTCTATTCATTTAAAAAGTTTTCCAAAATTTTAGCAATGGATTAAAAATTGAATTTTAATTAAGATGACTTGCGGGGAGATAATTCGTGCTTGCTTTATGTAGCATATTACTTTTTCTTTAATTTTATTCCAAGCTCGCAAAGGATAAATTGCAATTTTAGCCATCAGTCTATATTTCTATGATAAATTGGTCCACAATGTGAAAATTGAACATTTTCGTCCTCAATTTTCGATTGTTGTCGTAGGAGTCACATTGGATTGATATATAAACTGTTCAAAGATCCATTGAAATATTTCATGCTATACATGTGAAGCAATGTTTTGAAAGTAAAATAGATAAACATGGATAATTTTTCTAATGGCAAATAAAATAAAGAAATAAGAAAAACAAAATCCCACCTATCTTATTCCACATATAA